TATTGTTCTATAAAAGAATATTATCCACAGAGAACTACTGCCCTTTTTTTTCATTTTATTTTGTCTTTTACAAGAAGAGAATGTTTATTTGTTTTGATCTGGACCTAACGTTTTTACTTGTATCAAACACTAGTATGCCATTACTGAGTTAAAGATGTTCTATGACATAGGAGTTAAGCGTACAGGCTTGAAGCCAGATCTGCCTGAATTTGAATCCTGGCATTGCGACCTGAGGCAATCTGCATACAAATTTGTCTCATCTCCAAACCTCACAGGATTGTTGCAAGAATTAAGTAGGTTAAAAAATGAAATCACTTAGAACAGTGCCTGGCCTCCACTAATCACTATAAAAGTATTAGCTATAACAACTATTAATCACTATAAAACTATTATCCTCTGGATCTGGAACATAACTCCATGAGAGCTGGGATTTTGTTTTGTTCACTGTTGAAGCCCCAGAGGCCTGACATAACAAGTATTTGTTGAATAATAAAAATTTGTTGAATAATATAAACTTCATGCCAGCAACACAGAAGCCCAAAGGAGCAGCACTAAAATCTCTATAATACTTTAGCCTCAAAGTTTAGAGTTCATGGAGGGTTTTTACCTACGTTAGTTCAAGTGATTCACTGAAGATGGTATCTCCACCTCACAGACAAACTAAGACTCAGAGGACTTATGTGATTTGCCCGAAAACAAAGTCTGAGGCAACCCAGGAATTCTGGAAGTAAATCCTACTTCTGTTCACTCTGGACCCTACCCCAGAAAGCTTGAAATATACCCTACCAAACGGTTCAATTCTCCTTACCTGCAAATACACAAAGGTTAAAGTCACCAGAACACCTTCTCCCATTTGCTTCAATATAATTGATGGGGAGGAGAAATAGATGAAACAACATTAATAAATGTTGAAATTGGACAATGGGTCAGTGGGATTGATTATAGTCTTCTTTCCACTTATATATGTCTGAAAGTTTCCATAGGAAAAATATAATTAAAAATAAAGACCTTACTCCCCAACATAAACTCTCCCACTTCCAACTTTCTACTGAGCACACCTAGGTGTGAGGAAAACACCACAGCTGAGAACCTACAGCACTTCTCAGTCTGAAGCAGCGAAGAGAACTGGACTGGGAATCAGGAAGCTTGCCTAGGCTATGCTTTAACTGGTGTGAGACCTCACCCACCCATCTAACGCCTCTGGGCCCCAAACTTCCTCATCAGTTCCCTAAAGCAGCAGTTGCCAACCTTTTGGAACTCATGGACCACCAGTGGTCCGCAGACCATCGGTTGGCGACCGTTGCTCCAAAGGTTTCCTTAGCCAGTGGTCGCCAACCTTTTGGACCTCACGGACCACCAGTGGTCCGTGGGACCACCGGTTGGTGACCGCTGCCCTAAAGGATTAAATTTTTTATTTCGACTTTCTACTAGGTCCTTAATCTCAACACAAAACCCAATTCATCTTTCTCTATTCTCAACCTCTGAGACCTGTTCTTCCTCCTGACTTCCCTATTCCTGATGCCCCATTCTGCCAGCCACCCAACCATAAAAACTTCAACCATCTCTGACTTGAGACAGAACTGACTGTTCCCTTACCTTTCTAATCAGTGACCAAATCTTTCTGTTCAGCCTCCAAAACATCTCTTAAATCCATCTCCTGCTTTCCATTCCCAAGGCCATCAATTCACTTCAGGCCCTCATCATCCCTCACTTGGAGTATTACTATGAACCAAAGTCCCTGTTTCTAATTTCTCCACACTACCAATCCATCATACTGATCCTCAGTCTGACATTTAAGATCCTCCCAAACCCAGTCCTGATCACTTGGCAGCCTCACCTTCCACTATGTTCCTTTATGTATCCCAGGATCTAGGTAATTTGGATATGCAGTTTCCTGCCTCATTTTCAACACCACCCCACAGCCTTTGCTCAAGCTATCCTTCCCTCCGAATGTCCTCTTCTTTCTATTGCTTCTGACTGGCACAGTAGTACAATGTAAATGCCAAGTGTTTCTCCACATCCCCAAAGGGGCAGTATCACTCCCTCCACTTACTGCCTAAGCACTTTGTCTGAACCCCTTTTATAGCACCTACCGAATGCTTATTGGTCCTTTCATTTTTTTGGTGCTCCTATTCTCCCTACTAGATGACTCCTCCTTGTCTGTAGGAATGATGTTTTATTCATCTTTGTATCCCTCAGAACAGAGCTGCTTAAGGAGAGTGCCATGGCATAGTGGAATTTGCCATGAATGAGTTAAAGATGGTCTAGACCAGCCGTGGGCAAACTACGGCCCGCGGGCCGGATCTGGCCTGTTTGAAATGAATAAAACTAAAAAAAAACAAAACCGTACACTTTTATGTAATGATGTTTACTTTGAATTTATATTAGTTTACACAAACACTCCATCCATGCTTTTGTTCCAGCCCTCCGGTCCAGTTTAAGAACCCATTTTGTGGCCCTCGAGTCAAAAAGTTTGCCCACTCCTGGTCTAGACAGTGATCCCCTCAGCCCTCCAAACAGCCACAAAGGGTCTTCAGCAGCCAGAGTCCCCATAGGTCAAACCTCAAGCATTATCAAGCAGCCTCCTCCTTCAACAAGGTAGAAGCCATGATGATAACTTGAGAAGCATTCAGAGGAGGCAACAACACCTGGTACACAGTGGACGCCCAATAAATATCTGCAAAATTGCACCTATTCCCCTTTCAAACACTATTCCCAAGATCACTTACCATCTAAACCAGACTCTCTTTGAACATTTTCACTGAACGTGTTCTAGTAATCTTTTTAATAATCACCTGTTTATTACCTGGTTATACTTGCTTTATCATCCAAAGCGCACATCAATAATTTATTGAATAAAATAGCCAAGAATATGAACAAACAATTCAATATGAAGAGGTTCAAAGACAAAATTCAACATTGTAGAAAAAAGAAATGTAAGTGCCACTTTACACTATTAAATGAGCAAAAACTTTTAAGGAAAAATGTATTTCTGTCCAGTTTTCGTGAAACAGAAATATCCATGTATCTGTTAGTAATACAAACTGGTAAAATATTCTTGAAAAACAGTATGGCAAGCCATAAAAACATTCTTACCATGTCAACAATAATGTACTCAAAACTTTATCCTAGAGATATAATTAGTCAGAAAAAAGTACAATAATATCTACAGTAATGTAGATTAAAGTATTAACTGAAAACCAGCCAGCAGCATAAGTACCTAACATAAAAAGATTTAGGTAAACTATGAGAGTATGACTTGATGAAATATTTTGCAGCCTTTCAAAATGTAATCATATAAATTAAAATAGTGACACCTTTAACATGGAAATGTTTCATGATCTAATAAATAGAAAAAAATCAAATTATATGCATCATAATTTAAAAACAGTAAAATGTATTTTAATGGAATGGCAAAAAGAAAATCAACTATTTGAGTAATAACCCAAATTTTAACTATTTAATATCAATTCTTAAATCATCTCATAATTTAAGAAAGAAAGTTACACCATACTGAGGAGAGAGAGGGGTTCCAGGATACAAGCTTAAAATAGTCTCAAGAAGAGGTCCGCCCCTCCCTTGTACAGCTCACTCTGGCCTTAACTGGAAGCTCTCCTACTCTCCCTCCTTATCATGATAACTATGACAACCTCAGATCCCAGCTTTCCAAGGACCAACAAGCCACCTCAACCGGTCTTCAGATCACCCCCAGGAACCCGTGGGGGCTGCATCGTGCAAAACAAGTATATATTCAAGAATCCCTACAACCAGATATATTTGAGCAATAAGCAAGTAGCCAAGCCCAAATCCAATTATAAATCCCAAAAGTATAGAATAGTGTCACATTAAAGTCTCTAGGATTCTCAAAGAACTTGCTGGCTCAGTGGTGGACTGTCACAGTTAAAAAACAGTATGGACTGGTGGACAAATGAAAGCACTAGGGGCCAGGAGACTCTGGTACAGTTAAAAAAGGGAAAAATGTTTTTAAAAAAAATAAGCCCGGCTGGCATGGCTCAGTGGTTGAGCATCGACCTAAAACGGGAAAAATGTTATTTGAACTATAAGGAACAGAAAACTAAAAACTCCAGCTTAAAAGAGATGGGTAAAAAGTAGCTGGCAATGTCTTATAAATCTTACCCAGCCAGATTCCAAAAGGCAGGATGGCAAGTCATTTTATTAACACATGAAGTTTTCTGGAGCTGGTCATGTTTAAAGACTAGTACTGAAAATATATCAAAAACTAATTTTAGCACTGATGCCCCACAAGGGCAATATGAAAACAGTCTTCTCATTGTTTTTCTATAGTATTACCATTTTCTAAGTCTAATAATGAATGATCAAAGTACTATAAGGAATCAAGAAGATAACTTACTGTGAAATAATATGTATTCCTTTACTTACTAGTAGCAGAGCATTTCAGCAAAAGATAAATAATTTGAAGGACTATTACAACCATTGTGTGGAGGGAACACAACCATTAGGGGAAAAGTTTAAACTTTTGTTCCTATTGATGTATTCTCGGTATCTAGATCCTCTAAGATGCAAATATATAGTCACTCATGACAATATATGCATGGCAGATAACAGAAAAAACAAACAATTTAATAGTTAACCAAGTTCATCAGAGCATAGGGCGATTACCACTCAAGAATGTTGACATAAAAACTGAAGGACCTCTCCAGTTCCAATCATGCTGATAGGTTGAGTCCCTGTGCAGTTACTCATTCAGAACAGAGTGGAAGATTAACCTACCTCACTTCTCTTCATACAGACTGACAAAGCGGCAGGCGGTCTCTGCAGAGGCTGCTCGGCATCATCCAGTCTGTTCCAGAAGCAGCCACTGCAGTCAGGACCCGCACCTCAGGTCACCACTCTTCCACCCTGTCCCACCTCATACTTTCTGGCCAGAAATTCTCATCTAGATGAGATCTCCCCTGTCTCTTTCTCGCACATTACCAAGTTCTTGTTTTCTAAACAAGGCTCTCATATATTTTACTCACCTGCAGTTCACTGCACTGGGTATCACCCAAATAGCCCATCAGAGCTCTTTATAATTTCTGAAAGAGAGAGACGGGAGCTTTTAAACACAGGGTAGAAAATACCATTGCTGACACAGTGCTGAAGCATTTGTATCCAATATTCACAGCATATGGTCTTTTGGTCCACAATATTTCAAAAATATGTAGCATAACCAGCCAGGACCAAGAGTTCTGAGATAAGAGTCCAGAGATATAAGTTTGGTTTAAAGTTGCTACTACTCAGTTGTGTGACCTTGGACAAATCATCTGACTTCTCCAGGCCTAAAAGTCCTTGTCTGGAGAATAAAGACAGACGGACAGAAGCAGGAGAGCACAATGGAAAGAGCACGGGCTCTCCAAGCCAGAACACCAGCACCACTCCTTACCAGCATTGTGCTGTGATGTTAGCTCACATTTAATCTACATTTCCTCCTTTGCAAAATGTAAATAACAACAACTATTTGGAGTTGTTATGAGAATTAAAGGAGAGATAATAAGTTATAAAAAGCCAACAGTAGATACAATCCCACAGATGGTAATTATCACCATTAACTCAGCCCTATAGTTATATGACTTCTATTCATAAATATTTATTTCCTTAAAATATCCACAAATCAAAAACTTTTACAAATCTGACAATGGAATTAACCGTTGGAGTGTTTCAATCACCGTTATCTTCAACTGCTGGTAGTTTAAGATTATCAATATTACTTAACATCACAGGAAATGAGTGGAATAGCCCCTGCATGACACCTGAACAGTTCAGTGGCCAGGCCTTCCCTATTTCTCCCTCTGCTCTCACTGCTACCAATACACCTCAGCACCAGAGAGCTCTCCAAAAAGCCAACTGTTTTCTATGGTCAGCTCAGGAGAACACAACTAAAGATGGAAGAAGAAGAACAGAGACTTTCCCTTTTATTCTATTTTTACTTCAGACACTTAAGTACTGCTCATATTTGCTTCCTATAGCATGCACCAGTTATGCATAAAACAAGTGAATAAAAATAAAATCTTAAAACAATTATTAGTTACACATAATGCCTACTGATAGGAAGCTCGCCTTATAGGACTATTTTTCACAAGAATTTCCACAAAAGAAAGCAAAAAGGCAAATTCAGATGTGCCAAGAACACCTCAAATGTGGCACAGAAATAACAAAAATCACAAACATTCACATTTCAGAATGGTTCAGTCAAAAAATATGCTATGTACTCTTTGAAGAACCTTGTGGATGAATCAATTAGTTTTGGTTTTCTGTTTATTTGTTTTTGTTCAAAAGCAAGATGAATATACAAATCCTGGTTTTACCAGACAATTTTCTGCTCTTGGAAAAAGTAACCCAGTACAATTGACACAAGTAAACAAATTGGTATGACTGTTTGGTAGTATGTTGAAAAACTTTCAATGTTTTAAACAGATGGTAGCTTTTTAAAAATTATTATATGTAAATTAAAAGTCTCCATGCTACATCTACAATATTATTTTTTAAAGAATTATTAACGCTATTAAATTCAGGATTACTCAAAAGTATTACTCAGTCACCACTGAAGTGACAGACCACTGTGTTTTATGCTCCTTCTAGCCAATGCTACAGAAATAATCCTGACTACACCCATCAATTTAAGTGAACTGTAAGCTGGTGTGGCCACACTCTCCACACATATCATAGTTCTCTCCTAGAAGACATTTCAAAATATTACTTAGAAATCAAATTATATTGGCATGTACACTTACCTAAGTTTACGAAAATAAACAACCAGAACAACTTGCTTATAATTTTTAAGTAGCCCCCCCCCCATGTGAGTTGATAAACTTGGCCCTAAAATCTTCTATGCATTTGAAACAACAGCCAAAGGACCTTATGTCTTATGCTGGGCCTATATTTGGCTCTTAAATATAGTCTGACGGACAATTATAGACTAATTTGTGTTTAATACCAATACCAAGCCTAGTTCTTAAAGAGAAAACAAAAATGCATGTATAAGATCTGGTCTACTTATTTGTAGTCCCTCTGCAATATATTCTTAGCCATTCATGAACATGTTGTATATTTTTAAACTGCACAAGGCCCTTTGCAAGTAGGAATGGTTTCTCCTGTTGTTTGGCATCAGTCCTCTCTCTCTCTGGTAAAACACTGGACACTCCATAAATGTATATGGACTTTAAAACAATGCAGATTAAATATTTATGGTATCAGAAAATGAAACTTCTTGCTAACAATTGCAAAAGTTTACCAGCTGATAGAGAGGTACTTACTTACTGGCTCCCAAAAACTACAGCCTTACCTAAAAATAGTGTCCTAGCTTCCCAGCCAAAAGGACAGACTAAAAAAGCTATGTCTTTATTGAGCTCAAAGACACAGACTTCTACTTCACCACAACCTTCAATACTATGGTATTTCCCATTTTAGAAGAATTTGTGTAACAACTTGTTTGGTGGCCAACCACTAACTTCACTTTGAAGTGAATACTAGCACTTCACATGGTCCACATGTGTGAAAACTGTGGAAAACGTCTTGACACAATACAGGCCAAACAACACTAGCCACACAAGATTACTTATTTCTAAATATTAAATTTTAGACTACAAATGAACATCACCAGAGGCCAAAAAGCAGGTCACTGGTTCCTTTCCACAAAGTAATCTGTAAATTTTTTTTAAAAAGATAAAAGTTTCCGATTGGGAAGCCTATGGCAAGAATATGCCTCCGTCTATAAGCTGAAAATAAATTTTAAAATCCACATTTGCTCTTCAAAGAATAAAAATAAATGTAATACACACAAGCACTGCTGAGTTTCAAACGCAAGCAAATGTGATGCGTGCACTCACAAAAGTATCTTAGTTTATGTCCACTTTTCTCTCCTGAGTTGTTTTTTTTTTAAGGTAAAATGTCAATTGTATGCTTCAATCTGCAAAAAAAATAAAGCACAGCTTACTCTTCTTAAACAGATGTTGTGATAGATATGAATTTCAAAACCCAAATGCTACCCATATGTGTTAAAAAAAAAAAACAAAAAAAAAAACCTGCGGTAACCAACCTACCATAACTTAATTTTCTCAATAAATCATAGTAAAATACGTTTAAAGTTCAGAAGATTGCTTGTGGAAAATGTAAAATTAGCAAACTTTTCTCCTTTTCCTCATGTACTAAATGCCAACTGTTTACTAACACGATTATCAATGTCCTTTAAATCCAAAGCATTAGAAGTTACATTAAATAAAGCAACGCTTTGAATTCACACACCAAGTGTGACCAGAAAATAATGACAAACCAGACTTATCCTTAGTAAGCGAAACAAAACTCGACGCTATCCTTTTTATTTCAAAATAACTATGAGAGAGACCAGTACTATTCCATTTTTCAGAAAATAAAAGCAGGAGTGACTGATCTGCCTGACATGATTCTTTGCGATGGAAATGGTGTACGTCCGTCACGAGAGTCCCACCGTCTGTGGGCACACAAGACCCACAGACACAATCCCTGACCGTCCACGGAGAGTAAGTGGACTTACACATGGACACCGAAACATGGGTAAAATTAAGACATCCAACTAAAATTACACAAGGAAATTTAAACAGGCAAACTATAAGCACCCCTGGTGAAGATCCTGATCAAAGATAGCTGCTAATAATATGTGGCTCTGGATAAACTCCACTAGGGCAGTATATGTTGGAGCCACCGAGAAAGTTTGGTACGTTTTTGTTTTTGTTTGTGTTTGTGTTTTTCTTTCTAAAATCTAGCCTTGCCTATACGCCCACCTGACAGAATGAATTATTTGGAAAATAAAGGTGGACCCCATCAAATTACTTAGTCCCGGCCTTACCCTCACGAGTTGATTAAAATAAAGAAGGAAAAAAAGGTCGATCCTTTTTAACTGCCGGCTCACCTTACACATCTCACCAGCACGGTAGTTCTTTAGTGATCAATTACTTCATCCAATGCCTGAGGTAAACAGAAAAAGTAAAATGTGTCTACACACCAACCAGTCACAGTCACCATCAGCAGCAAACATTTCATATCAGCCTGGAGGGAGAGGGCATCGGAATTTCAAATGGAAAAAGTTACCAAGATGGTACAGGGGATGAAGCTTGTAAACAAGCCTTACTTCAAAACAAAAAAATTCCAGTGTGATAAAGAGATTACAAAACGTTCTGAAAATCCACAACTTAAGAAGTCATCTCTTTCAGCACTGACTGACCTTACTTCCAAAAAAAGAAAAAGAAGAAGAAGAAATGAAGGAGGAAAACCCATTAATGTGAGTTTGAGAGGGTAAAATGAACCACAAAACTAGCCAGGGCCACTCCCCCAGCCCCCACCCCGCCCAGGAGTTATACATATTCCATTAATGATTTGCCTGAAAAGTGTAAGTTGTGAAGGAGAAGGAACAACAATCGTTTGAGTTCCAAACAAAACCCAAGGAGCCCAATCAATCCAAAAAGCATCCTCAGACCCGGCTCCCAGCTCTACCTGAGGCCCCCCGGCCCGGGGGGCGGGGGTAGAGGCTCAAACAACTTGGGGGGAGAGGCATCAGAGCCCCCAGACAGAACTGCACCCCTGAGCCCCAGGGCAGGGCGTCCCGAAGGACTCTCCCGGGAGGGGAAGTGTGTTTCCATGTTTGTTGATGTGCCGGTGGCCCAAAGAGAATTTCCGAAGAGGGGGCGGAGAAAGGGGGGAAGAAAGTGAAGCGGAGGCCCCAGCTCTGGGCGGAG